GGCGGGGGCGGGGCCTTCCGCAGCAGTGTGACGTGGCTACTCACCGACTCCTGCCCTCTAGCAGGCCGAGGCCTGTGGTGGCTGGCTGACGGTCCAGCCCACTGGTGCCACCGCCCTCAGGGCCCGCCCCGCCCCAGCGGCCCGCCGGAGGGGAGGCTGGGCGAACAGCGCGATTCCTGGGCTCGCGGGTGACCGCAGCTGGCCTGCAGAACCAGGGGCGGGGCGCGCACCGGGCCTCTGTGACTCGCCTCCGGCTCGCGCCCCACTGGGTGGCTGCGGGCGAGGGGCGGGCCGGGCTGCGCACGTGGTGTCCGGCTGGACCCGCCGCGGCCGGCAGGGAAGTCGGTTTACACTTAGGCCCTGGAGCCGAATCGAACATCGGTAGCGCGATCTCTGCCACCGGCCCCGGGGGTCTCCCCACTGTCCAGGATGCCTACCCCCCTGGCCGGGCGCCCTGACAGGGTGAAAGTTTCCCCCTGGCACCTCGACCACCTGTAGCCTTGAGCCACGTCCAAAATGAAAACGGTGTTATCTGTAGGTAACTGTTTATGAAACCTTTGCCCGAGCAGTTGGTTTCGTTCACTTCCCCGCCCCTATTTCCACCCACGAGTTGAAGTATCTTTAAAGTGCTCTTGAGTAAAACAAATAGTTAAAATTCCGTTCTTTTTTTTTTTTTTTTTACTTGTACCTTTAATTTGGGGAGATAACATTTGATTACACATTAACCCCATTCCAAGTTTTTTTGTTTTCCTGGAATAGGTTTATGTTAAAATAGTGCAAATATGTTTGGGAGGGATCTGATGAGAGCTTTCCACTTGGCACTCATTCACTTATTAATTATATTGGTTTCATATGCATGTATTATGAGTTAGTGTTTATGTTCCAGTGCAAGGTTGCTGAGAGTGGGTTCTCAGGTTAAAAATATTTTTTCACTTAAAGGCCCCCTCTCTTCCCCACTTCCACTCCTGCTAAAAATCTGTACCCACATTTTGTGTGGACTTGCAGCTAGTCCAGTCTGGCTTCCCTTAAAACTGTCAGGCCAGGCAAATAACTGGTACAGGAACCCCCCCCCCCGCCCCCTCCTCCCCGCGTCCTGGGGTGCAGTTCCGGTCACATAAAACTCGAGATTTATTTACACAAAAGCTGTAGTAAGCATAATTTTCTTAAGGCTAATAAACTAGTCATACATTGTAACAGCTATAAACAAGGTTTCTCATTCATATCAATAATCTCTAATTTACTTGCTCCTAGCCAACCTCTGAGGAGCCCTGTGGCCCAGTGGTTAAGCGCTTGGCTGTTAACTGAACGGTTGGCAGTTTGAACCCACCAGCTGCTCCCTGGATGAAAGATGTGGCAGTCAACTTTCTTAAAGATTTACAGCCTTGGAAACCCTAGGGGACAGTTCTACTCTATCCTGTAGGGTCACTATGAGTTGGAATTGATGACAATGGGTTTGGTTTGGAACCAACCTCCTTTGCTTTTAAGTGAGGATTGTATTTACACATAATTCCCAGGGAGGCGCCATCTTTGCTAACTCTAATTGGTGAACCTTTGTGTTTTTAACTACCTCTTCCTGTTATATTCAGCTCTTTGGAGACATGCCAGATAATGCTTGACTCTCCCTTTTAGGAAAGCGTATCAACAAATTCAGTTAGGATGATTCAGAAAACAGATTCTGTTTTCCTGTAACCTATTTAAATACGTGTGGATTAAAGACTGATTTAGTTGAGCAAAAGATTATGTGGAATGGTTCTCCAAAGTTTGATGTATGTGGGCTACCTAACCATGGTTGGTGGTTTTGTTTGTTTGTTGTTTTTAAGTGAAAAGTCATAACAGGGACCTTCTCAAGGAGAGGTGCTTCTTGAAGAAACACAGGGGAACTTTCCTGGAAACAGATTTTGATTGCAGGGAGAGAAGAGCTGGGAGGTGATTATAGACTCAAAAGAGCTCTAGAGAACTCAACAGTAGGTGTTTAGGATCTTCACTGTAATCCAGTGCTACTAATGTCAATCAGCTACATCATTGAGTTTGCAACTTATCCCTCTTCTAAATTTATACTAATAACTCCTACTTCCACGTAACTGTCTCTTGCAAATGACTTCATCTATCTTCTATTTGCCCCTCTGTATGCACTCTCCACCCTTCTGCTCTTGTGCCAGGGAGGGCTGACCTGTCCAGGGAGGGCTGACCTGTCCAGATGGCACCACCTTCCCTGGTATCTGGATGGGTTCAGGCAATGGGAGGTAGAGCAGACTGGAAGCCACAGAAGAGTGAGGGCATAGGCTTTATTCCCCCAGTTGGGTCACCATGGGTTGACTGCAGTGCCTTCTCTGTATAGCTACCCCCTCCAAATCCCTCCCTTTGCCCCTTCAGGCCTATGGGTAGTTAGCTACCCCCTCCAAATCCCTCCCTTTGCCCCTTCAGGCCTATGGGTAGTAACCTCTAGCCAGCCTTTAGGGTACTGCATTACCCCTTGTTGGCTTCCGTGACTCTTGCCTGCACTTCTGTAAATGGTCGTTTTAACAACTCTCTTCAAATTGCCCAGTTTGAGCTCTCTACCTGTTTTTACAGGAACCCTGACTGACTCAGTTTGCCGTTGTTGAATCTTCATTTTATTACTTATTCTGCTTCTGCTAATAATTGCCAGATTTTTCCTCTGCTTCTTAGTTCAAATTCACGGAAGACAGAGAGCTTAGCTTATTTTCTCTAGTCGCATCACACAAATCACTAGCTAACCTATGAATTATTTTGCCCTTGGGTAGGGTGCCCACCTGTCCTGGAGGAACAAGTTATTTCGTTCAAAACACTTCCACTAAAGCAGTGTGGGTTGGTGAGGGGTGGGGGAGTGCCAGTTTCCAGTAGGCATGTGTTAGAGGTAGCCGACTTTAACCAGGTTCTTTTCCCTTTTTCCCTCTCTTAGTGAACGATACCAACTATTTAAGTTCTGAAGATTACATGAGATAATATATACTATGTGTAAAATGCTTACCAAAGTCCCTAATTAATTATGTTAGCTATTTTTATTGCTTTTTAAATGGGTAGATTAACCAGGATGTTGTTGTTAGGTGCCATCTCACTGATTTTCAACTCATAGCAACCCCAAGTGACAGAGTAGAACTGCCTCATAGGGTTTCCTAGGCTGTAATCTTTATGAAAGCAAATCGCCAGGTCTTTCCCCTGGAGCCATTGGCTGGGTTCAAACCACCAACGTTTTGGTTAGCAGCCCAGCATTTACCTGTTTGTGCCACCAGGGCTCCTTTTAAACCAGGATAAAAGAAAAAAGAAAAAAACCCAATCTCATTGCCATCTAGTTGATTCCAACTCATAGTGACCCTACAGGGCAGAGTAGAACTGCCCCATAGAGTTTCCAAGGCTGTAATCTTTACAGAAGCAGACTGCCACATCTTTCTCCCATGGAGTGACTGATGGGTTCAAACTGCCGACCTTAATTTAACCAGGATAAAACCAACCAAACCCACTGCTGTCGAGTTGATTCCGACTCATAGCGACCCTATAGAACACGGTAGAACTGCCCGCATAGAATTTCCAAGGAGCACCTGGTGGATTCAAACTGCCGACCTTTTGGTTGGCAGTCATAGCTCTTAACTACTACGCTACCAGGGTTTCTGTTAACCAGGATAGTGACCTTAATTTTACTAAACTTTGTTGTTAGCTGCTGTCAAGTTGGCCCCCTACTCATGGCGACTCCATGCACAACAGGATGACATGCTGCCTGGTTCTGTGCCATCCCATTATCAGTCGTGATCCATAGGGGTTCTCACTGGCTGATTTTCTGAAGTAAATCGCCAGGCCTTTCTTCCTAGTCAGTCTTAGTCTGGAAGCTCCACTAAAACCTGTTGAGCATCATAGCAACACCCAAGCCTCTGCTGACAGACAGGTGGTGGCCACAAGGAAGGTGCATTGGCTGAGAATAGCATTTGAGTCTCCCATAAGACGTGAGAATTCTACCACTGAACCACCAGTGTCCTCTGATTTCCTGAACTGTTAAAGCAAAAAGCCTGATTTTTTTTTTTTGTAATGGAGAACTCGAATGTAGAGCAGAGATTTAGGTTATGAAACGCCTGAAATAATTCTCCTTAAACAATGACCACATGGTTCAAATGAGCCTTTAAAAAATGAATCCTGTTTTTCCTGCTTAGAGTATGCTAATGTATCATCAGAAGATTGAACCCTCCTCTTCTCTCCCTCCCCCTGGTGTTTGAGGAAAGTTGAGTCCTATGAGAACATCCAGATCCTTGTTTTTTATTACCAGTGCAAATTAGGTTCAGGCTGGCAAAAACCCAATGTACAAATAGCTGCATTAGATGCTAGAGAAGCTTCAAAGAATGC